GAGATCTGCACCTTGTTAACACATTAATGCTTCATTACGTCTATTATTATATCAACTTGAAAACCAAGAGCTAGCACTATTTCTGTAGTCCAGGAAAAAAATCTGATTGGTTTTTGCTACCTCTCTGGATCCTCTCCATGAACCTAGAATGATTCAGATGGGTAAAAGACAAAGCAAAATCCTGAGATCTGCCACCAGAAATGAAGTTTCTTTCTATGAGAGACAGAGAAGACACAGGAAGTAGAAATGCTCCAGGGCTGCAAAAGAAACACTTCTCTTTGACCAGGAGCAATGCAACATTAGTGGTATTACCTGCCCTTTGAACTCTCTATATCTCTTTCCAATTTGGACTTCCTTCCAATTGTGAGGCAGAGGACTCAGGAGCCCCCAGGTATGAACCAAGAAAATATTTTCATCTACCTTGAAGATCTGAGAAGGAATGGGAGTGATAGGGACAAGTTTTATTTTGCATTTAAATTCTATGTCATTAATGGCCAGGTTGTGTAGATCCTTAAATACTAAATTGAAAAATACATATGTACATGCTCCTAGTTGTCAGAGTTAGCCATTGGAGTCCAATCAGTAGGAAAGCCACTTGATCCAACAGGCTTTTTCTTTGTTGTTTTTATTTATTTATTTTGAACATACTTTTCTTTTTAAATTTTGAGTTCCATATTCTCTCCCTCCTCATCCCCTCCCTCACCCACTGAGAAGCAAACTATATCAACTATACGTGTGAAATCATGCAAAATATATTCCCATATTAGCCATATCGCAACAAAAAAAAAAAAGCAAAAAGAAAAGTTTTTAAAAAGAGAAAATTATACTTCAGCTTATACTCAGAGTTTGTCAGTTGTCTCTCTGGAGATGGATAGCATTTTTTCATCGTGAATCTTTGGGATTGTCTTGGATCATTGTATTGCTCAGAGTACCGAGTCTTTCACAGCTGATTATCATTACAACATTGCCATTACTGTGCACAATGATCTCCTGGTTCTTCTCACTTCACTCTGCATCAGTTCATATAGGTCTTGTCGTGTTTCTTCTGAAACCGGCTCCTTATCATTTCTTATAACACAATAGTATTCCATCATAATCATGTGCCACAACTTGTTTAGCATTGACAAGTATCCCCTTACTTTCCAATTCTATGCCACCACTAAAAAAAACAAAAACTGCTATAAATATTTTCGTACATCTAGATCCTTTTCCTTTTTCTTTGCTCTCTTTGGGTACTGACTAATAATGGTATTTCTGGATCAAAGGGCATGCACAGTTTTATAGCCCTTTGGGCATAGTTCCAGATTATTCTCCAGAATGGGTAGACCACTTCACAGCTCTACCAACAGTGCAATAGTGTCCACAATTTTTTGTTTTTTTTTCTACCTCTCTGGATTTCTTTTTGAACTTGGAATAATTCAGATCATCAAAAGATAAAGCAAAATCCTGAGATCCACCACCAGAAATGGAGTTTCCTTCTATAAGAGACAGAGGAGACACAGGAAGTAGAAATGCTCCAAGGTTGCAAAATTTTTCCACATCCCCTCCAACATTTATGATTTTTTCCTTTTCTGTTATGTTGGCTGATCTAATAGGTATGAGGTGATACCTCCGAGTTATTTTAATTTGCATTTCTCTAATCAATAATGATTTAGAGTGTTTTTAAATATGACTCTAGATAGCTTTGATTTCATCTCCTGAAAACTGCCTATTCATATCCTTTGACCTTTTATCAATTTGAGAATAGTTTTTATTTTTATAAATTTGACTCAGTTCCCTATATATCTGAGAAATGAGGCCTTTGTCAGAGAAACTTGCTATAAAAAATTTTGACATTACTTCATTGTCCAGAAAAACGTAGTTTCCCTGATTATCTAGCAAAATGTAGTTTCCCTGATTTTCTCTTTCAATTAGGCCTATTTTTGTTTTTGCTTTGTCTGAGATCTTTGTCTGAGATCACAATTGCCCCCCTTTCCCTCTTCAGTTCAGCTGAAACATGATAACTTGAAACTCTGTTCCAACTCATCATTTCAACTCTTCAGAAAGACATGTGACTTTCTGTCCCAAGATTCTCTCTTGTACACAACATATTGTTGGATTCTGTTCAACCTGCACTTTAGAAAATCACTCTAGTAAGTGTGTGGAGAATGGATTAGAGAAGGGCAGGGCTTGAGGGGCAGAGGCCAATGAGGAGGCTCTCAGTAAGAGATAAGAACCTCTCCATGTTGTCTAAAGAAAGTGGTGACTGTATTGTTGTAGAAAAGGGGACATACGATATGTGTTCTGGAAGTAGAAATGCCCAGATTTGGCAACTTTATGGCTATGTGGGATATAAGAGTAGAAAGAGGAGTTGAAGATGAACTGAGGTCACCAACTGGAGTGACTAAGAGATTGGTAGTGTCATCTCTCAGGGAAGAGACCTTAGAGAGTAAAATATTACATAGGGTAGAAGCGATGAGCCAAAAATACAAAGAGTAAATTTCATATTTTAGTATTTGATAAATATTTTATCTCCTAGACATGTATGGAACCCAGGACAAGGGGTTTAAAAAGAAAACTGCTTCCAAGTTGAGTGCTAGGTGGTTGTCGATGTTGCTGTTTGTCCCTCGTTCTAGAAGAGGACCATGACATCAGGAAGGTGATGCCATGACTTGCAAGCAAATTGGAATTAAGTGAGGGAGGGCTGTACAAAGTCACCAGCCTCACTGTGTCCTCCAGAGCCATCTAGGTCCGGTTGCAAGACATGGATCAGGATGATTGGAGGTGACTCTGAATGTGGCCTTGGCCTTTTTAAGCTGAGGGGCAGCAGGTAGCACAGTGGATAGAGCTCCAGCCTTGGAGTCAGGAGGACCTGAGTTCACATCTGGCCTCAGACACTTGACACGTTCCAGCTGTGTGACCCTGGGCAAGTCACTTTGCCTAACCAAAAAGGAAAAAAAAAGCTAAGGTCTTTCCCGTGTCTCAGTTTGACTGCGGCAACACTCATTTAGTGATTAAGACTAGGTAAGAAGTGAGCCAAAGAATGGCCTCTTTTACCTAGTAAAAAAAAAAAATTCAATCTGGGAGGGGAAGACCCTCAGGGTTTCTGGCCAAAACAGAAACAATTGCTATTTATACTCACTCTGAGCCATCAGAATCCAAACAATGACCAAATGAGGCTTGGGCTGGGACCCTTTGTTGGCCAATCAATGAGAGCCAGAGTGATTTGGGTTTAAGGCATGGTTCTTAACAAAGAAATCTAGACCATAAATCCCAAGATTTCAGCCATCAAAATTTATATTCTTTTGGGCAGAGTACCTGCAGGTAAGGGTATGAGGAGGGAGGGAGGGAAGGAAAGAAAGAAGGAAGAATGGAAAGGAGAAAGGAAGGAGCTTCATTGCCCAACTGGAACTGGCCAGTTGAGTCCCCAGTGGGGCAGCTACTACTACTCACAGGTTGTTGTTTGTCTTTTGTTTTTGAAGAGGACCATGACATTAGGAAGGTGATTCCATCACATGCAAGTGAATTGGATTTAAGTGAGGAAGGACTGCACAAAGTCACCAACCTCACTCTCTCTCCTCCAGAGCCATCTGGGTCCAGTGGCAAGATATGGATCAGAATGACTGGAGATGGCCCCCACTAAACAGCAATGCCGTGGCAGAGGGAGTAGCCCAGATATTTATTGGCTAAAGCACATTGTAGTGGCCAGAAGGGATACTGCAGCCTCTTAATAAATGGCATGGTTGTTCAGATGCTTCATGATACCATTTAGGGTTTTCTTGGCAGAGATACTGGAGTGATTGCCATAGCCTTCTCCAGCTCATTTTAGAGGAGGAAACTGCAGCAAACAGAGTTAAGTGACTTGCCCAGGGTCACACAACTATTAAGTGTCTGAGGCCAGATTTGAACTCAGGAAGATGAGTCTTCCTGACTCCAGGACTGACATCTGTGCACTATGGCACCACCTAGCTGCCCAAACAGCACAGTAACTGCTGTAACTGAAAGGTTACCTGGTAGTTAGTTGATTTTATTCCATTTGAGCTAATTTGAGCTCCTTGGTTGGTTGGCTCTTTACAAATGTAACAAACAGCACATATAAGCCAATGCTCCACACTACAAGTAGTTTACTTACTCAATGGATGCATCACACTTTCAGTGGAAAACACTTGAAGCTTTCACAATGAGTACAGGATAAAATAAAGATATTCCTCTTCCCACTATCATTTGGCATAGTGCTGGAAATGCTAGTATAGCAAAAAGACAAGAGAGAAGTTAAAGTTATAAGTAACAATTAAGATGAGACTAAATTATCTTTTTTTGTGATTATGATGTACTCTGCTTTATTTTTTATTTTTCATTTTTTTTGTATCTAATATAAATTTATTTATTTTCAGTTTTCAATATTTACTTCCACAAGATTTTGAATTCCAAATTTTCACCATCTCACCCCTCCCCCCACCCCAAGATGGCATGCATTCTGAATATCCCTTCCCTAGTCTGCCTCTCTTCTATCTTCCCCCTTCTCTTATCCCCTTCCCCTTCTATTTTCCTGTAGGCAGGACAGACTTCTGTACCCCATTTCCTGTATTTCTTATTTCCAGTAGCATGTGAAAACATTTTTTTAAACATGTTTTTAAAACTTTAGGTTTCAAATTTCTCTCCCTTCCTCCCTCCCCACCCACCCTCATTGAAAAGGCAAGCAACTCAATATAGGTTATACATGTGCAGTTATGCAAAACACTTCCATGGTAGACATGTTGTGAAAAACTAACTCTATTTCCCTTAATTCTATCCTGCCCTCCCATTTATTCTATCCTTTCTTTTGACCCTGTCCCTCCTCAGAAGTATTTGCTTCTGATTACCCCTTTCCCAATCTGCCCTCCTCTCTATCATCCCCCTGCTCTCTTGTCCCCTTCTCCCCTATTTTCCTAGGGTAAGACAGATTTCCATACCCAATTGAATGTGTATGTTATTCCCTCCTTAAGCCAAATCCTATGAGAATAAGATTCACTCATTCCCTC